AGTGATTAATTAAGTCAATTACCTCACTGTGCAATCAAATTTCTTATCTGCAAAAACAACTGTGCATCATCTCTTAGCCAGATTTGTCTAGTTCTATCAGTGGGAGGGTTTTGAGTCAAGTAATCATTCTTATCAATACTGCATAGATAAACCCTAATAGTTTTGTTTCACTCTAGATAATTTGTGTCATTTAATTTATGCTCAATGATTTTTGACATGATTAGAACTATCTCACTTACTGAAAATTTGTTATCACTCATTCTTAACTCGAGAATATTTACAAATTATCACCCAAAAATACCTAAATACATTTGCTCGAGATATACCAAAAACACTACAAATATACTAGAAAATTTGATAAAATAGAGTACCTCTTCACTTGTGGGTATCAACAACCCTACTAAAACCTCACTGTCAACCATCGGAGGTCTGCCGCTGCACGCACTGTCAGCAGAGAATCACATGCTGTCGCTGGAGTTACATGCACAACTGTCTGAAACTACCAAATAGCCTCCTTTCGGCCGGAAATCACCACAGAACTCCAATGTCGATCTTAATCTGGAATGATGCTCATAGAAACAGCCAAAATCAGGTAGGAGAGCAGAGAATCGCTTCATGTCGCACGATCTGCTCTGCCATGCCTTTTGTTTCTTCGACCTTCTAGTTTCATGCAGAGAGCCAGTCAACCGAGCCCCTCTGTTGCTTCTATCCTCGAACTGGAAAACAAACCACCTAGAAATATACTCCTTCGGCAAATTCGATGCACACAGCCTTACTCTGCCACGCAAACCACCGTTTCGACTTTTCCTGCGTACACTACCATGATGGCTGCACTCTGAACTACCTAGAGATTGTTAGTTGACTTCCTCCAGTGCCAGGAATGGGTTCTTTAACCCTTCTTTTGGTCTGATAATATTTGACTCCTAAAACCCTAACCCTAACCCTAATTCTGATACCATGTAAGAATTAGGAAAAAGAATAATGAATATTTTTTTATGTTTTATTGAAACAAAAATAGAGAGATATATATACCTAGACGGCTTTAAATATACTAAACAACATAAATTATCCTAATAATATTCTTCCTAATTAAGCTTACATATTTAGAAATATAATCATACTATTATGGTATGAAATATTCTATAATATTTTAACAATAATCAAATGCTCAAGTTCACTTGTCATGAAAAGAAAAACTTCAACTAATAAGAGTACAAGTTCAACTTTCCAAAACACACATTTATGTATAAAATCCCTTCAATATATCATATTTCTTATGATTTTCATTTTAAAATCACATATGAACTAATTTATTTAGTACATAAATAAAAAAAATATGATATCTTAATTTTAAACCATGAATAATGGATTTTCCATACATACATATCTACATAAATATATAATATATTAGTGTTATTGCGTGTATATATAGAAAAATTTTCTAATATTTTAACAAATTTATTTGTACAAAAATCTCAGCTCATTTTTTGTGAGGTAAGATTTATTTTATTACATAGACATAAAGGATCAATACGTGTATTACACGTGTATGCAAATACAGCTAACACATAATGGAATTGGTTACAACTGTTTGCTAATCATTGGCTGTGTATATTCCTTGCATTCTGTACCATAATGATGAGTTATCCTCCTTCTAAAAATATTCTCCTGACTATTCCCTTGAGTGATTATATGAATCCTAACATCCCCTTCAAACTTTGTAGTGAGAGAGGACATTCAAGAACTCTAAGTTTGCTTCTCAACAGATAAAATTTTGATCCTGCAAAATACTGTGAAGGAATATATTGAACCTCCAACTTTTTCTCAAGAACTTTTTCTCTTATGAAGTGAATATCAATCTCAATGTGCTTTGTTCTCGTGTGATATACAGGATTGCTAGCTAATTGACTAGCACTCATATTATTGCACCATGTGATAGGAATTTCAGAGATAGGAAATGAAAACCCCTTAAGCAACGATTCCGACCAAGAAATTTTGCATGAAACATGAGCTAGTGAACGATACTTAAACTCAGCACTTGACCTTGCAACCATCGGTTGTTTCTTCGAGCTCTAAAAAACTAATGTTGAGTCATAATAGACACAATGTCCTGCAATTGACCTTCTATCATCTCTACTACAGGCCCAATCAGCATCAGAATAGCCTGTGAGTGTGTACTGATCACATGGTTTAATATGAAGACCAAAATTCTTTGTTCCCTTAAGATACCTCAACACTCCTTTTGCTACCTGCATATATTTTGTAGTAGGTTGTTGCAAAAATTGACTCAGCCTATTGATGATAAAGGCAATATCTGGTCTTGTATGGGTAATATATTAAAGAATGTCTATAATCTTCCTATATAAGGTTGCATTCTTGAGAGGTTCACCTTCATTGATTAACAACGTGTCAAGAGGAGTTGGTGTTGAACAAGCTTTACAATTCTCCATGTTTGTCATTTTGAGTAGTTCTTCAACATATTTTGTTCAAGTCATAAAGATACCTGCATCGTTTCTCATGACCTCAATTCCCAAGAATAAATGTAGATGACCCAAATCTTTTAGAGCAAACAGCTTATCAAATTCCTTTATGAATCTTGTGAGGGATGTCAAATTGCTACCTATAATAATTATATCATCTACGTAGATTATAACAAACATTATTTCATCTTTACTCTTCAAAATGAAAAGAGAAGAATCACACTTCGAGCTTGTAAAACCTCATTTTAGCAAGTGCTTCTCAATTTTTCAAACCAGGCCATGGGAGCCTGTTTTAACCTGTATAACTCCTTATTTAGCTTGCAAACATAACTTTCTTTGCTCCTTTCTTCAAATCTTTTAGACTGCTGCATAAAAATTGCTTCTTACAAATCGCCATTTAGGAAAGCATTGTTTATATTCAATTGTCGAATGCACTAATTCTCCATTACAGCAATTGTAAGAATCACTCTCATTGTTGATTCTTTAACTACTGGATTAAATGTCTCACCATAGTCTACACCAGCATTCTGATGAAAACCCTTAACTACCAGTCTAGTTTTGCATCTCTGTAAACTTCCATCAACATTTACTTTCACCTTAAAGACCCACTTGTTGCCAACTACATTCATTGTTGTTGTTTTGGGCACTAAGGTCCAAGCGTTGTTCCTTTTTAAGGGATCAAGCTCCTCTTTCATAGCTTTCCCCCATATTTCAGATTTCAAGGCTTCATCTACTGAATTTGGTTTAACAACTTGACTACATTCTGCAAAGTATAAATGAAAATCATACGAGTATTGTTTGGGTTTAAACACTCCAACTCTTGACCTTGTTATCACTTTAAGAGTTTCAGCATTCTTATAATTCATTTGTGCTTCTATCTGCTCAACTTCATTTTCTCTAACATCATATTCAATTTCATTATCTTTCTGACATTGTGAGTATTGTTTTAGTTCTGCTTATGTTTCAATGATATCAAAACCTCTATATTCATTGCCTCCAAAAATTAGAAGTTGGGAATCAAATCCCCCTTCAACAAATAGTCTCTCCTCATCCTCTTCTAGCTGTGCAGCTTTAGACTCAGATCTGCAAGAATGTGCTGCCGCACTAGAAACACCAGGTTGCCTTTTATCAGTTGAGTTGAAAGTTTTGGTTTGGATAGTGTTTGACTAAGGAATAGTGAACCAATTTGATACATTGACAATTGTTTGTGCTTCTGGGGCTCTGGTATTCAGAAAAGCATTGTGAAATGGAAATTCCCTTTAATTAAAAACCACATGTCGAGATATGTACACCCTTTCAGTCGAACTTAAGCATTTATAGCCTTTGTGTGAACTGCTATAGCTAAGAAATACATACTTTATAGAATAGAATTGAACTTTTTGATTTTGATAGGACCTTAGACATGGATAACAGACACACCCAATGGCTTTGAGGGATTTGTAACTTGGTATCTTGTGGTAAAAATTTTCACAAGGACTTAGGTTATTTAGAATTGGTGTAGGTAGAATGTTTATTAGAAATGCAGCTATTTGAAAAGCTTTTACCTAGAATTTTAATTGGACTTTTGACTAAGCTAATAAGGTCAGACTTATTTCAATGAGGTGTCTATGTTTCCTCTCAGCTTTGCCATTTTGAGCAGAGGTATAAGGGCAAAAATACTAAATTTTGATGTCATGTTGCTGTAAATAATCAATAAGTCTTGTGTATTCTTCTTCCATATAAGAATGGATGCACTTGATTTTTCTATCAAATTGGTTTTTAACTAAGTTCTTGAATTGTATGAAGGTATGAAAGAATTTAGATTTATGTTTTAGAGAAAAAATTCAAGTGAATTGGCTGTAATCATCAATGAACAATGCATAATACTTATATCCAGTCATAGAAGTGGCTAGTGCAAGTTCCCACAGGTTAGAGTGTATTAGTTATAAAGGGTTTAATGCAATAGTAGTGGATGGATTAAAATGAATCAGATGGAATTTTCCTAATTAACAGGCTTCGCACAAAGGAAATTTAGAAAATTGATATTTTCCATTAGCAACAAATTTTTTATTATATATTTCAAAAACCTTAGCAATAATTTTAGGGGCTGGATGGCCTAAACATCTGTGCTATAATTCTAACTTTTCAGAGTTTACAAAATCAGTACTCCAATGAGAAATAAAAGCTTAATGTAGAGATTGGTTGGTGTTTACTTTAGGTTAGTGAATTGGCTCAACTTGATAAAGTCCTTCCTTGTGCTTCCCTTGCAATAACACTTTACCCAGTGCTTTGTTTTTCACAACACAGCCAAAAGAATAAAAAATAACATCAACATTATTTGCAGTTGTTAGTTTAGAAATATTGATCAAATTCTTTCGGATTGCGGAACACGTAAGACATTTTTCAACAAGTATCTATTATCATTAGTCAGCAACTTAATTGAACCAACATGAGATATATTTAATGTCGCACCATTCCCCATGATTAAAATTTCTTTACTAGTGTACTCATTTTTCTATTGCAGATTTTTAACATCATGAGTGATATGATTGCTTGCTCCTCTATCAATGTACTAAGCATTATCCGCAAAATTGTCTGTCGAAGCCAAGTATACTAGGTGTGGTTGTTGGTTCCTGTTTGAATTTGGTAAAGAACCTGTATAAATCATGTCAAACCTGTAATAGCATACTACTGTAGTAAGCCAAATCCTTCCACACACTTGACAAAATGGTCTATTTTCTCCAATTCTGCCACGTCTTCTATACCTTCTTGCTCCTCTGTTGAAGTTTCCTGATCTAGCACTATTGTAATGATAATTTTGATTCCTGTTTGTAGGGTTTGTGCTCCTTGCATAGTTGGCCACAGGCTTACCAAGGTTAATGGTTGCAATCCCAACATTTAGTTATTCTAGCATTTTTCATAGTTCAATAATTTGGACTGAAGCTCAACCCAGCTAATTGTTTCTTTCTCAGCTATTTAACACACCAATGGATTGTAGTCTTTTGAATCTAATCTTGCTAAAATTTAAGTGACTAAGTTTTCTAACGAAACAGGGTGACCTGTTAGTGCCAGGTTGTCAGCTAGAGATTTCATTACTTTAAGGTACTCCTCCATCTTCATTCTTCCTTTTTGCATCTTAACAAACTCTCTTTTATAAAAAATTATATTTGATCTAGATTTCAAGATAAATAACTCTTTGATTGCATTCTAAAGATTTCTTGATGTTTCATACCCTATTAATTCAGAGGCCACCATCGGTTCAATAGTACTTTAGATCCATCCTAATAACATTTGACCTTGGGCAAACCATTCTTCGAACTCTGGGTTTGAGAGGATTTGAACTTGCTCATTCACCGTTTCTTCAGTGAACTTCGACGGGCAGATCTTTGCTCCGGTTATGAATCTTTCTAATTTATTTTCCTTGATAATGGGTAATACCATATTCTTCCACAATAAATAGTTCTCATGGTTCAAGTTAACCATTGAGTATGAACCCATTTGATTTCCTGTTGAATGCAAAGTTTGATTGTTGTTGTTGTGTTGCTTGCTTTGAGTTTTTCCTTTATTTGTTTTGCTGCCAGAAGTTGTTGAATTACTACTACCTTCAGCCATTGATGCTCTGATACCAAGAAAAGTTTTCTAATATTTTAACAAATTTGTGATGTGCAAAAATCTTAACTCATTTTTTATGAGATGAGATTTATTTTATTACATAGATAGAAAGGATTAATAAATGTATTACAAGTGTATGCAAATACAGCTAATACATAATGAAATTAGTTACAATTGTTTGTTAATCATTGACTGTTTATATTACTTGCACTCTGCACCACAATGATGACTTGTCCTTTTAAGAATATTCTGCTGACTATTCTCTTGAGTGATTATGTGATTCCTAACATATATGTTGTTCTTTTTTTTTTTTTGAGATTGTCTACATGGTGATTGCTTCTTTGATCATTTTCTCAGCCAACTTAGGTATGGATGAGGTTCCTCAAATCCTCCAGTATTTCGAACCCAAAAAAATCCTGTAGCATTTGACAAAGAGTTTGTCAACCATTTAAGCTATAACGATATGATAAGGCTTAAAGACACACAACACGCCCACCATGCAGGCAAGTGATTTTGCAAGCCTTCTTTGGATTTTCAAAGTCAATAAATGTTCCCACCAGTGGCCCAAGGTTCATACATTCACTTGAACATTACCCGCTAATGACTGTTTAGTATAGTAGTGAGGGGACTAGTGGCAACAAAGCACAGTTTTTGAACAAACAATAGCAAGCTAAGTGATCGAGAGCTTTTCTTTGGCTATGAAGAGATTTTGATGATGATGAATGTCGATGAGGTCACACGGAACATGGATGTTTGGTGGTCGTTGGCCTCACTTTTGTGGTGACAGAGATGGAGGCATTGGAGGAGGAAGAGGATTAGGTCGTGGCAGTGCTGGAGGTGGTGGTGATGGTGGAGTGTTGGTGGTGATTCTGGTCATGGTGGTGGGTTTCGTGTTGGCAATTAGAGTAGGTGGTGGTCATGAGGAGTGCTGGAGGAAGTGGTGATGGTGGTGGAGGACTTGGGGGCCGTTCAGGTCAAGGAGGGGGCTTTGGAGCTGGTGGTGATGTAGGCCGTGGTCTTGAAGGTGATGCTGGGGAAAGAGGAGGTGGTGGTGGAGGACTTGGGGGTGGTTCAGGTTAGGAGTGGGGTTTGGAGCTGCTGGGTGGTGTAGGTGGTGGTCTTAGAGATGGTGCTGGAGGAGGTGGTGATCGTAGAGGTGGAGGCAATGATAGAGGTGGTGCTGAATGAGGATCTGGCCAATGGGGTGGAGGTGGTGTTGGTAGGGGTCTAGGAGGGGAAGCTGGAGCTGGTGGAGTTCTTGGGGGTGGCCATGGAACTGGTGGAGGCTGAGAATTTGGCAGTAGTATTGGAATATGCATTGGTGTGAGAGCTGGTGCAGGGGCCAGTCACGGATCCTGCAGCAGCAGAAGATAGAAGGGTAAATTTGTTTTCTTTCTCCACCAAAAGTCTTGGTGACCTACACTTTGTGGCGAGGCAAGCAAAACAAAGTCATCGAAGTGCAAAACACAAATGTTATTCAAGTTCCTTGGTTAATGTAATTCAAGAGTTCTTGATTACCCTCCTATCCATTGTATGTGAATCAAAAAGTTTGAATTCCAAAACCAAACATGTTATATCAATTCTACAATATATTTTACAGTCTTCCTAGCAGTAACCATAATCAGTATTTAAGTGGAAATGATATAGAGCTATAGCTTAGTGTAAATAGCAAGTCCATTTTTAAATTAGCAGATAAACTAAAATGAATACCAAGATAAATGCTGCCATGTCCACCGATCAATTGAATTTCCCTTGAATAGAGATGATCATACGCCAACAGTTCCATTTAAACTGATGGGCCACAATATATATGATTGTCTGAATAGATCAACCATGAATGCTTGGTAGGCCATGACAGATTGTGGCAAGTACCCCGTCTTCACTCGTCCCAAATTGAATTTCATTTCAGCTCTCTCTCTCTCTCTCTCTCTCTCTGTCTGTCTGTATATATATATAGATTTATATATATCCGAAAATGATCCTGAAGAAGAATTCATAAATGCTAGATCTATCCATGCAAAAAATGTATTTTAAGAAGGTAGGTTTACTCCCGTGCACGACCATAACGAAAAATTAAGTTTAAAATATGTATATTCATATGCCTTCATATCTCAGTAAGTTCAACTACACTGACTCAAAGTCTATGAAACAACACCCAGATGTTCTATTGACCATTTTAGTCTCTCCGATATCTCCTAATGCAACTAGAATTCTCTTTGTTCCCCTAATGCGACTATTTAGGTAGCATTTAGTAGTGTTACAATGCGGAATTATACACATTTCTTCCAATACTAAAATTTCAAGATACTAATCATAGTAATTAACGACATATAATAATTTGTAGTGCACTAGACTAAGACTACCTTATATATGATACGAGAAACCATACCTCCCGCCGTAATTTGGCTCCATTTCAAGCCACCTATCGTAGATCTCGGCACTATGTGGAGCCAATACGTTTCTTTTCTTCGTCTACGTTTCACTTTTTCAATTCACTTTCCCCCATCGCTCTCAATAAGTGCAGGCCGGCAGAAAATCCACAATCACACTCTTGTTATGCTCCATGTCCTCTGGCACCGTCTCGTGAAAAAACTTAGACTCTCTTGCACGTGCCTATTTATCATCATCATTCCAGGAGACAGCATTCCTCTCCGGCATTTCCTCGAACAAAATACCAGCATCTCATGATCGAAAACTGTATCATGTTGCTCACACAACACAAACGCAAGCTTTCTCCACTCAAATTCCGTTAAGGAAACATGAATCTGATATAAGAAAATTCCAAAACAGCAACCTAATATAACAAAAACCTCAACACTTGAACACGTGAGGGAATCCGCCATACTTCTTGAGGAGGGAAGGGAGAGTGTGAAAGATAGAACGACTTAGAATCAATATGGTGAAGAACATGGAACCAGCTAGTAGTGGCTTTCGTTGGTTTCCGCCATTTTCTTCACTGGAGAAAGTGGCTACCGTACAAAACGAATCCGTTAAAATTCTCCTGGCGGAGCCCATGAAAATATATTTTCTTCTCAGTACTCTGTTAATCAATTGTGTAATTAACAGCAAATTATAGCAATTTCCATGTTTAAGCAATTTGACTATATTTAAGCAATAAATCACATATGAGTGTTTAATTACAGAATTGGTCATTAATCTTGCACTTTTTTATATAAACAAATAATATATTATCAATCGTTATGGTTAAATCCTTAACATTTTATTTTTTAACTCAATTATTCAATTTATTTATTTATTAAATAATACAAATTTGCATGTACCATATAACTACCATATGAATTGGTGGTTCCGGTGCAGCGGCGGTCGGTGGTCGGCTCCCTTCTCCAGCGACTGGTTCTTCTTCTTTGGCAGGAGGATGGCGGCTAGAGTTCGGATTCAGTGTAATGCGAAATATTTATATTCATCTCGCGTTATTTTAGACCGTTCATCGTGTTTGATCTCGACCGTTAGATCGCGTATAAGGAGAAAGTAAATCTAGACTGTTCATCGTGATTTAATCTTGATCGTCCAATCGCGTTTAAGGAAAAAATGAATCTAGATTGTTCATTACGATTTGATCTCGATCGTCCGATCGTGTTTAAAGGGAAAACAAATCTAAGTCGTCCAAGCACGCGAGATCAATCTTGTGTCATTCGATTGTGGAGCACACAGATCGCCCGCTTGACATCGACGTCAGCGTGTCTTGCCATACGGCGTGCTCTCAAGTGACTGAAATGGGTAGGGTGGCCTACTTAAGCTGCCCAGTGACATGTCTCTCCTACTAGCATATAGGTGATAAGTATAACTTTCTGTTCGGGAACCACCTCAAGAGTCATAAAAGTTTTCTCTGTCTCAGCTAACTAGTACTCAGTCTCTTCAAATGAGCATGCCCTTACAAAGAAGATATGTTTAGTCTTTTCTACCTCTCATGTAGCCTGGTCATCATGGGTGGAACTGGATCTCGTGAGATGGATTGAATTGTGCTGGGAGGACAGA